TCTCTCTCTCCCCCCTCCCCTTCATCTCTGAAATCAATAAAAATATATCTAAAAAAAGAAAACATTAAACTTAGTGTACATCTCCATCAGAACTCTTGGGTGACCAGGTACATTGTCAATGAGCATTAAATTCTCAACTTTAAAAGAGAATATTTGTTTTCCAAATATTGTATCTTTGTTAGAGCCACAAATGTGTAAAAATGAAATCCAAAAAGACATAATAAACAAAAACAGCTTTTAGGTTGGGAGATTATTTTTTTGTATTTTTTAATTTCCTTAAATATTGTTGTTATATAATATTTAGAGAGGAAGGCAGAGGTAGAAAGAGAAACATCAATCAGCTACCTCCTGCATGCCCCACTACTGGGGATGGAGCCCGGCAAACTGGGCATGTACCCTGAGTAGGAATCAAACCAGTGGCCTTTTGATTCATGGCTCGATGCTCAACCACTGAGCCACACTGGCCAGGCGTATGCTTATCTCTTAATAACAAGATAATAAAAATTTAGAGCAATAGCAAGTATATCTAGGACAACTTATAAGTTATCCTAATAAATTATCCCAATCTGATAAACAAATAGCTAGAACATAGCAAGAAAAAATTTTTTTTATCACTTTGGCCTTCAGAAATTTCCATAAATAACAATATGCATCTACATCAATTGAAACACCAGTTATTTTGTAGCTAAATTTCTGACAAGTTGATGAAAAACACTGAAAAAAGTTAGGGAAGCCAGGCTTCAACATTTCCAGAGAAAGAAATTAAAACTTGCCCTAGCCGGGTTGGCTCAGTGGATAGAGCATCGGCCTGCAGACTGACGGGTCCCGGGTTCGATTCCGGCCAAGGGCACATGCTTGGGTTGCGGGCTCCATCCCCAGTGTGGGGTGTGGAGGCAGCCAATCAATGATTCTCTCTCATCATTGATGTTTCTATCTCTCCCCTTCTCCCTTCCTCTCTGAAATCAATAAAGAAATATATTTTAAAAAAAGAAAAAAGAAAGTAAAACTCTAGCTATACAAGATGTGAAATTACTTGAAACTCCACAGAAGCTATGCATACAATTTTCAACAGGAATTTTGTTAAGGAATTTATTTGAATTTCATTTATTCCTCACAATATTGAGGTTGTATTATCATTCCCATTTCATTGATGAGAAAATTGGTATTATATTAAATAGTCTACAAAATATTATAAGAATCAGGTCGCTGATTAATTACTTTGACTGTCTGCCAACTTATACTTCCAGCTATTGCTAATACAATTTGTTTCTTTCTCTTACCATTCATGCTAACACCATAGGGATCAAATTGTCCTGTGGGTATTTACAAATATGGCCTGATTTAATAATCTAGTTGTATTAGCTCTTAAGAACCAGATTTTACATACTCAAGGGCTTAGTGACGCTGTGTGTGTGTGTGTGTGTGTGTGTGTGGGTGTGTAGTATAATTCATTAGTCTTTGGTTCTGTGTTTATTATGGATGGGGTTCTATCTTCTTCATCCTGTCTTCTGTTAATATTCTGCTTTGTTCTTGAGTACCCCGTTCTGTATGCCATTCAGTAAGCAACTAGTAAGAGCCTGTTAGTACCAGAGCTAGGTATTAGGGAAAGTTTGATAAGGAATGCTTATTTATGTAGTTTCAAAGTACCTTCCTACAAAAACACTTATTAATTAGGAAGAATAAAGAGTAACTTCCCAGTGGAAAAGTCTCTCAGAAACCATTTTAACCAAATGACCAAACTCAACATCACTGGCTCCTTCAAGCTGACTGCTCTATCCTGTTAATTTCCTTGCTTTTTGGCACAATAAGCAGTGAATAGTTTAATTTAACAAAGCAAATTAATAACAGAATACAAATTTCTTTTCTAATGTGCATTCTTCTAAATATGTGTGTGGGAGTGTATCTCAGTGGAAACTGTACACATGAAATTATACACATATTTAGCTATAGCTAGCTAGAAATATAATCTCAGTAGAAAAAAATAATTTAAATTATTCTGTTTCACAGTCTATGGCAGGAGGAAAGAGTTTTCACTTTAAAGCTGTAAGAGACTCTTGAGATTATAGTTAAAAGGCATCATATAGAAGAGGAAAAGTAAGCTATGACAAATTCAGGGGGATAGGATTTAGATGAAACTAAAACATGGAAAAGCATACCTTTGGACTTGATAATAGGAAAAATAATCTCTAAAATGTCTTTGAATGATGACAAGCAGGACCAAAACATAAGCCAAGTTTTCCTGATTTCTTAGCTGTCTTTACATACATAAAAATGGTTTTAAAATTACATAAGAAAAATTCAATATGGATAGGTAACGTCTTTCACGGGGTTTAACTTCTCACATTCCCTGTTTTACACTAGATTACGGGTTTAAGTCTGTACGAGAATTACTGGGTAGACACATAATCCTATTCATAAACAGCAGTCAGTGTTACAGTTGTTTCATTTTCTCCTTTTCTCTTTCTCTCCAAGACTAATTAGCATTACACACAGTATGTTCCTTGTTATAAATGTCTTCTTTCAACTTTGGGACTATAGTATCTTTTGATTACCCAAAACTCTGATGTAGTTTTTTCAGTTACGCAGAAGCCAGTCTCTATTGTAACACTGGAGACTAACTACATAAAAAAGCAATTTTAATAATATAGGAACAACTATCACAAGTGGATATGACATGTATACTATCTTCACTTTGTGAATCAACATTAAATGAATAATCTTTTATATACTTACTGCTGAAACGCTGCCATTGTATTCTCCAAATTTTCTCCAGCACCTGTAAAAACATTAAATGTTAATTTCATTTACTTATATACTCTGAACATTTTATTTTTCTATAAATTCATTTTAATAAGATACATCTTTCCAAATGTTCTAAAGAATATAATGGTATCTTTATTTTATATTTTAGCTGTACCAGGAAGAATCAAAGATCAAAACACAGACACAACACCACAGAAGTGTGAAGCACCTAAACATGATTTTTAAACTGTCATATCAGCTTGTCATAGAGGAATGACAGAAGAGGACTTGGTACATATACACCTCCCCACGCAGAGTTAAAACATCTCTCCTCTGTATTCACATAGTCCCTTATGCACCTCTCTACCATGCATTTATCATATTATAGCATAAGTTATTACCTATCTCCTTCCTACAAGTGACTGTACTTTAATCACCTTGGCTGAAAGCAGAATACTATAGTAGCTGAGAATGGGACTCCAGAGTTCTGATATTTGTTCTACAATCTATTTGATGTTTGTGTCACCTTGGGAAAGTTACCTAATCTCTCTGTTAGACTGAGCTTTCTTACCTATAAGAATGAGGATAATGGTTAGTAGAGTTGTTGCATAATAGAAAACAGATGAAGTATATATGAAGATTATAGTTTTTTTTTGAAAGTAAGTGCTGTTTTGAGGTTAAATGACTTTAAAACATCCAGCTGGTGTCTGTTTTAGTCAAAAACTATGGAAATATGTTACACTCAGATAACCAACATTTCAAGAACAAAGCACTCTAAAATATTACCAAAAAAACTAGAGTGCTAAAATGGTTACTGTTAAGTAAACTAGCGACTGCTTTCTCAAAAAAAACCCCCAAAACCCCAAGAAGTTGAAAGAATTCTGAAGCCAATTTAAACGCATTTTCACCTGCCAAACCTGAAACAACGTTAGCATCAAACTAATGATAGTAACAAATTTTAAACTACTGGATAAAATAGGAAATTCTCAGTCTATTTTAATAAATGGAAAGTTTGATAAGGAATGCTTATTTATGTAGTTTCAAAGTACCTCCCTACAAAAACACTTATTAATTACAAAGAATAAAGAGTAACTTCCCAGTGGAAAAGTCTCTCAGAAACCACTTGAACCAAATGACCAAACTCAACATCACTGGCTCCTTCAAGCTGACTGCTGTGTCCTGTTAATTTCCTTGCTTTTTGGCACAATAAGCAGTGAGTAGTTTAATTTCACAAAGCAAATTAATAACAGTTATCAATTTGGTCAGAATACAAATGATTTCTTTTCTAATGTGCATTCTTCTATACTTTACAAACACTCTACAATGAATATGCACTACTTTTAAAAGCAGAGGGAAGAATCAAAGTCTTAAGCTCATGCCATATGCCTGGGAAGATCATTTTCACCATTGCCTCCCAATGTTTCTTAACATTAATTCCAAAATGAATTCACTTTGCAACTCCTCCATGAAAGTACTTTCTTGTCGCTTCAGATTACAATGATTCTTACCACAGACAAGAGTTCATTAAACTGGCAGCTCCCAGCCACTTGTTCTCACGACTCTTACTGACTACCTCAAAGAGCTTCAGAAATTGACTCCTTAAAATTTAATTTATTTGAAAACAACAGTAAACCCATTTCATGCTAACATATATTTTATGAAAAATAACTATCTTTCAAAAAAATTTAATGAGGAGATTAGCACTGTTTACATTTTTGCAAATCTCTTTAACGTCTGGCTTAACAGAAGGCAGCTAGATTCTTATATCTGCTTAATATGCACCAGAATTCAACAAGGGGTAGTTTTATAAGATAGCTGCAATGTGGAGTCTAAACCACAGAAATGTCCTTTTCATACTCTATTACGTAAAAACCCACTGGTCCACTGTGAACTCTGAATGGATCTTTCACCCATTCATGGCTTTTATAATCCACTCATCTTTTGGAAAATACTGATTCACTGAATTATGCTAATCTTCTAAATCCGGACACATTTCATTATACAATACATATTTTTAAATCTCATTTGTTAACATCTTATCTCATCAGGAGGCTCTTTGAGAATTGGAAAGCTATCAAGCTCACAGTGGCAGATGCAAGTTTTCAAAATTCTAATTTTTGCTTAAAAGCTCAAATTTAATCATTGGCACTACCTTCATAGAAGGCAGCTAGATTATTTTTATTCTAACGAGAGATATACTTTATTAATTTTCAAGAACATATCTGCTGAATATCCATAACCAGTTGTCAGTTTTTTTAAGTAAAAATGGTGTTCTGTGGAAAAGGGAAATTCAGCTCACAACTCAAATGACTGCACAAGTGCTTTTTCTCAAGACACCCATCATCATACTTTGGTATGCAGCAAAAGTGAATACTTCCAATTATGTCACATAGAATATGTGTAGTTGAGGGTTGAAATTTAATAACATTACTAATTTTTACTAACACATCAAAGATAGTCTTAAGTGAAACTGCCCATTTTTCTTATTTATTCATTTTAGAGAAAGAAGGGAGAGATCAATTAGTTGTTCCACTTATTTATGATTCATTGGTTGATACTTGTATGTGCCCTGATTGGGGATCAAACCAGAGACGTTCTGGTACATGGGACAAATTACTTATTAGATTCATATGGGGAAAGCCTAGAGCGTAACTAAGGGACTAATTAAGAGTATGTCATTCCTCTCCAAAGAATTACTTGGTGTTAGTGCTTCTTTCATGAAATGGTTGGAATTCCTTTTTTTTTTTTTTTTTAAGGAATGGAGATACTTTCATTCCACCTTATTTTATGATTTTAGAGAGAGGAAGGGAGAGGAGGAGGAGAGAGAGAGAAACAGCGGCCGGTTACCTTCCATACGCACTCTGACCCATGAGGGACTGAACCAGCAACCTAGGTATGTGCCCTGACTGGGAATCGAACTGGTGACCTTTCAGTGCATAGGATGATGCTCAACAAACGGACTCACATCGGCCAAGGCCCAAAAGCAATCTTTACTCTCAAACTTATCACCTGTTAAATCAATCTGTGGCAATATGCCCAGACTGTGACAGTACTCTCGCTTAATTGCAAGGGTGAAAGATTAGGAGGAAAGGTTAAGATGTGATCAGCTGGCCCAGCTGGTGTGGCTTGGTGGTGAAATGTCATTGACCCATTCACCAAGAGGTCACTGGTTCAATTCCTGGTCAGGGTACATGCCCAGGTTGCAGGCTTGACACCCAGTAGGGGGCGTGCAGGAGACAGCCGATTGATGTTTCTATCTCTCTCCCGTCTCCTATCTCTCTCTCTCTCAAAAAAAATTAATAAAAAAAGATTTGATCAGTTGTTGATTTTTAAAAATTCTTTGACCATTAATTCCTAGTAAGTAGATTTTTCTTTTAAAGCCTGTTGCTTATCTCAACTGGCTCATAGAGACAGGTTAGAGAGTATTAAAGTATGTTATTTCCCTGCTATCCTATCTCTATCTGAAATAAATATATACTATATACCATGTAATTCCAAATGCAGGACAATATGTACTTAAAGGACATACTTCAAAATGTCCAGACAGTAAAGTTTAGGAGATATTTTTTCTCTTCTCATTTCCATATTTCCAAGTTTTATACAATGAACATGAGTTACTTTTGTAATTGGAAAAATATTAACAAAACCCATAATTTCATAGAGGAATTAAGAAAATGGCCCTTGATTATACTGCTTGCTCCCCATTTAATCCAAAGGATGTATCTTTGGTTCTGTTGATGTTTCATCAATACATTGTAGTTATAAAGTGTGCTCTTGGTAAAATAAATTTAAGAAATACATGAAAAGTATCTAACATGTAGTAGATAATTAGCAGACAATAAGCTATTACTTTTAAACTATTATTTTAATTATATATTAGTATCTGTACTAGAGGCTAAAGACAAAAGAATTAGTAAAATCTAAAAGTTGGCCTTGAGGAATTCAGTCTAGTAATGGAAGCAGATGTATTAATATATCCTATTACAATATAATGCAATACAAGGTATGCTTTCAAGAGGTAAGAGCAAAGCAAGACTACAGCATTTAATTTCCGAGACAGCTGCTTTCAAGGACACTCAATGTTAAAAAAGGCAAAGGTGTTCATTAAAAGCTTGAAAACAATTATAGGGTGATCTCAATCTTCATAATCAACTCAAAGTTCTATTGAAAAATGCAAATGTGGATCCCCTATAGCTATGCTTATATTTTCAATTTTACAAAATTTCAAAGTGCTTTCTATTCACCTAGTCCTCTAACAACTCAAAGAGAAGCAAGGCAAATGCTCTCCATTTATAGATAAGCAAAACTCATGCTTATTCCCAAGGCTAATTAGTGGTAGGTCCAGCATCTGACTCAGGAAAATGCTTTTATAGCAGACATAATATAGTACACATTAAGAGTTTCAAGTTATAGCAATTCCGGTGTATATACTTTAAACACATATAGCTACCAATATTTCAGTCTCGGAATGATTATACATCTGGTTTATATGAAATATCAGGTATTTGTCATTGGAGCAATTATAGTATTAGCCCAAATGCTAGTCATATGCACTGAGAGATTGCTGTTATCAGTGTCCCAGAAAAATAAATAAGCAAGCAAGGAGACTCCTTCCCAGTCTGTTGTCTTCCAGAAACGTAGGCTCTTGAGTTACAAAGTGTGTGTATGTGTGTTTAAGATAAATATCTCCTCTATCACTCTGGACTCAACTGTATTATCTGGTGTACATGCTCCACACAAAAGCATATGAAGCCACTGAGACACTGAAACTCACTACAGCGCTTTAGCCCAGCATACAGAGTAAAACAGATTTTGAGCCTGCAGATATTTTAACAAGATTATTTCTTCTAAAATAAAATTTAGATCACCCACAATGACAGATGAGAGAGCTTTTTAGAGGATCTAGTTTTGTTCTGGGTTGTAAGCAAGCACACTTTTTGAGAAAACCAGTGAACACAACTGCAGTGTGGACTGCCCATCCCCAGAATAGGTCGATCACCACTGAAAACTGCTTCTGCAGCAACAACGTAAACACTAAACGCTGGTTTGGGGCGTTAATGGTTGAAGGCGTGTTAGCGGTTATATGTACATCTTATAGTTGAACTACGCACTTATTAAAATGCAGATAAACCAAATGAGAAATAACATGGCGTTTAGCAGGTGACCCCTTAAAACCTTGGATACTTTTCATGAGTGGGAGACGAGCATAACCACGCAAGTTAGTCTTTCGTACTAAGTGTAACTGATAAAATTATACAGATGAATGATAATGCATTTCTGTGGCATTTAAGACCCTTTTCCTGGCCAGTTCTTGTTAGAAAGGGAGTGATGCTACTAAACCAAGCTTTAGACGATACATCTAGAAATGTACCATTTTAAGTAGTAGGCTACAAACTCCAAGCAATGTTAACCTACTTTTACACTCATTTCTAAAGAAGAGTGAACGTGGACTGAAATCATCCAATTGGATGACATTTTACACATCGCACTTAGAGTGAAATAGACACTTATTACTCAATAACGAAGAGGCACAGGCTGGATCTGCTGTGACTGCTGCCCGGGAAACAGAGGGTGGACCATCTAGTCTCCTTCCAGCAAGACATCTTTCCAAAATAAACTTTTCGCTTTCTTTAAACAACACCGCCCTGTCGCAGACGAAATCACCTTTTCAACTTGAGGAGATCCACGTGTCAAGGCTGGGTTGTAGGTGAGGCTTCCAAAAACCTCACAGGCGTGCAGCCTCGGGCACCGGGACGTTCCGGTTCCGGCCCCCGCCCGGCCCCAGCGCGGACGGTGCCCCTGGGTCATCCCCTCCAGGAACGGTCCCGCTGAGCG